TGGAACGGGCCGTTCTGAAACCAGAACGGCCCGTTCTGATTTCAGAACGGCCCGGTTTGAAAGAAGAACGGCCCGTTCCGGTTTCAGAACTGGCCGTTCTGGGTCGAGGTGTTTTCAAAAAAATTCTCATACACGTGGATGCCACGTATGCATCTACGTGGCGTCCACGTGGCCAAAAGTTAACACCGTTAAAGTAATTTGGACGGAAAGTCCCACATTGAAACCAATTAATTAATTTAGGACTAAATTGAAACCAATTAATTAATTTGGAACCAAATTGAGACCAAAAATTAATTAGGGACTAAATTGAAACAAAAAAAGATTATAAGGGACCAAAATAGGGTTTTAACCTTATTTATACTACTTCTTTTATATTTTATATTAAATTTTAATTATTTAATTATTTAATTAAATTTTTTTAATTTATAGATTAATTTTATAAATTAAAAAAAAATTACAAATTTATACTCTCTTTTATTAATTCAAATTAACATAAAAAATAATTTTATAATTATTCATCAATTTAAATTTATGAAACAAATTTTTAAATAATTTTTAAATTCTTTTTAAAAATTTGTAAACTTGATCTATACATTAATAAGAATTTTTAATTTAACAGTTGAATCATTAAAATTTGATATAAAATATTAATTATTTACTAGAATAAGTTTAGGTAAATTTACTTTAAAAAGAAAAAAAAAAATATATATATATATATATATATATATATATAAGTTAATAATATTTTTTAAGAGTTTTATTATTATTTTTATATTTTAATAAAAAAATTTCAAAAATATTTTTAAACTCATTTCCAAACAGACTCTTAAATATCAAATACAAGAAAACAAATATTTTCTTATTTAACTTTTGGCCAAGGGAGCAGGGAAGGCTAGGAATAGTAACCCTCTTGTTTGATTAGCCGGAGAAGAAGAAGTAGAAATCAATGACATGTATTTTTAAATTCAAATAAAATTTAAAGAATTACTATAAGTGAAAATTATATGTGTAACAGTAAGATAAATGACATTCACAAGTGCCTGGTAGTTATAACACTTGTCCATGAATCTCAAAATTTTGATATTTTACACATATTTTATTTTAAATCTCTTATTCATCTTTTTCTTTCTATGTGCATGTCTCTCTTTTATTTTTTCATCAGTTGATCAATCTTACTCTCTTATTTTTTCCTTATTCTCTTGGTATATCTTTTATTTTCACTCATTTCACACTCCAGCCATGACCGAGTGTGAATAAGCATCACCTATGACATTGATATTCATGAAGGGAAGATAGAGACGTCGCACAATCTCTAATAGCCAAGTGGCTCAGCTGAGCTAGAACGTTTCATTTTAGAAGAACTTTCTATTCTGTAACAAATATATATATATCATGAATAAGATATTTAGTTTGTTATTTGTAACCATGCATCTCCATCTGGAGTCAAAGATATATAACTAAGGATTAACGGAGTCGAAGATTCGAGACAGATGGAATACCACTGCATTAAGTAATATCTATTAATAATTATTCACTTCAGACTTCACAACATTAATTTCTGAATAAACTTCTTTTATATATAAAACACTACAAGAAAAAAAGATAGATAAAAATAAAATTAACTTATACATAAAGTAATTTATAAAAATTTTAGCTCTCATATTAATTAATTATATAAGTTAAATATAGTTTATAAATAAAAAAAATAAAAAAACTCAATCATGCCCATGTTATAACATTGAGATGACAATCAGTGTCAAGGAACAGTAAATAAATAAACATGTCCCAAACGACAAGAAAAGCTCCGAAATAAGTCAATTCCAGAGAGATTAGAACAAGTGGATGATATATTTAGATTTTGTTTGCCATTGTGTCCCAGTTATGAGTTATCAAGTGCGAAGAGTCATTGGGTTTGAGAGACAGGGAGTTGAATTTGGATATGCAATTCAATGGAAACACAGAATATGTCCATAGTGAGTGGGTCACTATGTTCCCTTCTCATGTGAAAAAAGACCTCAAAAGTTAACACTCGAATACATCCTTACACATGCACCCGACCAAATCAAGAAAAACGAACAAACAAAATATATTACCCACTAAGCTACAATCGGAAAAGCCTTGGTCATTAGAGATATTTACTAATCGAGTACCTCATCGCTCATGTAATCATCACACGTAGTGCACAACAAAGAACAAAACCACAAACTTTGTTATTTTCAAGATCCATCATGTACATACCTTAATCTAGACAAAAGTGCCTTGGTTCATTGTACTGGCTAGTTTCTCAAAATGACCAATTTGCTTGTATGAAATAAATATTTGTAAATGGTGTTAGTATGTTTGAATGCTTATATAATAAAAAGGGAAAGTTTAGAAAATGGAAGTTGAGCTTTCGTCAAAAAAGGCTTTTGTAATTACCACTTTTGGAATCAATAACTCTTTATATATAAAACGAAGGCTTCGTTAAAAAAAGAAATTGAAAAAATATTTGTTGTAAGTATTTATTTATTTTTTGGCTTGCCATCATTATCTAACCTACTATTATAAAGATTAATTTTGTTTGTAATATTGTAAATATTAATGACTCAAAAAATACTCTTGAGAGATTGAAGAGAAGATTATTTTATTAAATAAATCGTTGATAAAATATTGACATAAAGTTTATTTAAAGATTTTTATACATACACCTTAACGTATTATCTCACCACCCTTTAATTGTTGTTGACTTAAAAAGATTTTTGAATATGACTGAGATTGAACACCGGATTTTTTTTTGTAAAATAAATCATTCATATAATGTTGTCATGAAGTCCATCCAAAGGCGTGTCCACATACTTTTTTTTATTCAACTTCATAAATACGTAAAATAGTTAAAAATTAAGTGAAAATAATCTAAAATGAAAATAGTAATAAAAAACAATAAGTTTTCCAATTTTTTTAAATAACATTTAAAAAACAGATACATTTAAAAAAAAAAAACACACACACAAGATAAACATAGAAGGAATCAAAATTGTAAATATTTTTATTTTTCAAATATAGTTGACGCCAGATAATTAATTTTAACTTCTCATTATTAGTATATAATTATAATAATTCACAACAAATACAATTTATTTCAAGAAAAAAATACAAATTTCTTGGCGTGTAGAATCAATGAACAAGCTAGTGGTATATAACGAGTCTTAGTGCATTAATAATATTACTGTGCATATGTTGGTAATGGTCATGATTCTTTGATAGTTTAATATATTTGTGAGAAGTTTAGTGGATTGGGTGAGTAGATATGCACATCTAAAATAAGAAATAAATCCTTTCACATGGCAGTTTCATACTCCCTCGCGAGCTTAATTAGCACGAAAGAATTGAATTTTCCACGTACTACGTATTAGTCATCAATAACCGAATTTTATAGATGTACTCCAATTCACACTCCACGGAACTAGGGAAGCCACGCATTTATATGCAGCATAACTTCATAATGTGACAAAAAAATTAGCAACCTGAATTAATCAATCAATCAACCTTCATTATTTATTTATTTATTTATTATTATTATCATAAGGATTTTGTTAACATGTGTCGTAACAAAAAAATCATACTAATTTTTGTTAATTATATTAAACCTTTAGTTATAGGAGAAAGATCAACTTCCTCTAAAAAAAAATAATTTTTGGTAGACTTATCTTATTAATTTATAATTTATATTAAATTTTAATAATTCAGTCATTATGTTAAAAAAGTTTATTAAAAAGATCATACCCGTAAATTTTAAAAAAATTTAAAAATTATTTAATACTATTTTATTATATTGATTCAAATTGATACATATTAAAAAATCTTATACATTAGTTTAAATTTATATAACAACGTATGATATAGTTTTCTAATTTTCCAAAAGTTTTACGGACTTAATTCATTAAAAAAATTTAACTTAATAATTGAATTGTTAAAATTTAAATTAGATTATGAATTCTTGAGTGAAATAAGTTTATTAAGAATTAATTAATAAGTATATTTACTTTTAGTTAATACTTTTATTTTGAATTTCTTAATTTTTTTTTTCTCTAAACACATGTGTCAACAATATATAAATAATCATTATTTGCTTCATGCATGTGCACATAACCGAGAAAATGAAACTTTCTCTAAATATTAAAAAGCCAAACTGCAGCCAAATATTTTCCATTCATGTATCACCTCAATTACTCAAGTATATAACTTCAGTCACCCTAGCTACTTCACAGTTAGCCGTTTTGTAATTAGGACAACCTAGACACGAAAATACATCAAACAGCCTCTAAACACTAGGTAAATCAAGACCTCATTAGCAAAAGAAAAAAAATCATATCTATCTTGATTCTAGATTAATTAATTTCAAACGCATGCAGAGCTTCACTGACACAATATTATTCTTCATGAAAAACCACTCGTGGAGAAACCCTGATCCAATAATCATCAAGTGGCTCGGACAAGCGGTGACGTGGGAATAGGTGAATGAGGAGACATAACAGCAGTCTCATCAAACATCCTCGAAGAAAAACTGAGACTAAGATTCGGTTGCCAGCGTTTCATTCCCAATGGTTTCTTTGTTTCTCTCCCCACGAATGCCCGAATTCTGTTGAGTGCAATATCCACTGTTTCATCGTCCATGTTGGCAAAGCAAACCCTAAACCAACCAGGCTCGGAACAGTTGAAAGAAGAGCCTGGTGACACGTTAAGCTTCACCTCATGGATAATCACACGCCACAGCTTCAACTCATCTTCAAAGGTTGGTTCCTTCAACAAGCTCTTCAAGTTCATCCAACAAAAGAGTCCAGCATTGCTTGGAAACCTAGTAATGTTAACCTCCTCAAGTCCCTTCATAAACTTGTCATGCCTCTTCTCCAACCTTCTCGAATTCTCCTTGAGAAACCTCGTCACAAAATTCTCATCCGAAAGCATCGAAGCCAACATGTGTTGCGTTTGCGAGGAGACTAGCCCGAAGCTCGACATTTTCCTTCCACAATTCACCACTTCATCATTGAACGAATAAACTATGCCAACTCTGAAACCGGGGAACCCCATGTCCTTGGACAAACTATAAATAACATGAATGAGTTCACGTTTGCAATGTTCAACTTCTTGGATCACTTCAGCCACGCTTACGTAGTTGGGGGAGCTGAACACCGTAGCTGCGTAGATTTCATCACAAACTAAGTGGATGTTTTTCTCGTTGGTGAAGCTCACGAGGCTCTTCAACGTGTCCTTGTCTAAGGTGGTGCCTAAAGGGTTAGAGGGGTTTGTTATGATCAAACCCTTCACGTTGATGTTGTCCTCTTTGGCTTTCTTGTATGCTGCTTCGAGAGCTTCTCTTGTTATCTTGAAGTTGTTGGAGCTATCACTGTGGACAGGGATTAATTGCATCCCGGTTCTCCAACACAAGTCACGCACGAATCTGTAGTAAATTATGAAAATGTAATCAATCATTATCAGTACGTTAATTAGCATGTCATTTTTGGTGTTGTGTTAGTAGACGCATGCGTGATTAAAAAACATTGATAAGACGTTGTGAATTAATTAACTTTGCCACGTCTTATATTAATGTGTAATTATCAGTACTGCAGCAACTCCCTTATATTAATGTGTATTGTGGTCCATGCATTAAGTGGTACCCAGACAAAGAGTTATAAGCGTCTTATCAATGAAAAAAATAATTAAAGATGTTAAATATGTCAACGAAGAAATCAATTAAAAAAAAAGTGTTTTTTAGTCTAATAAGGAAATATAATTTCTTATCATGAGATCTTATAAGGAAAATTTGGTAATATAAAAGAAATATGCAAATGAAAAAATTCCTTAATTGTTTTTAAAAAATAATAGTATGCCATGAAATTTATTTTTGGTCAAAATTTGCAATTAATTGTGAAAATATTTGACCAAAAAAATTGAATTTCCAAAAACACAGCTGCATGTGTGCATAAACATTTATTGGGTTTTGCTGACGTTGCTGTTTGAAAATGAGGTGACCGCGTACACAGATATTCATTGTTTCATATTGTAAAGGTCAATTGTAACCCTCCACTTAGGTTGTATTATGAAGTGTTTAATTTGGACTTAACATTTGAACAAGAACCACACGCTTGTGTTGACAAATGACACCGTGGCAGATTTATTATCATCCCATGCTTGTTGACTAATCTCACTGTATGTCAGTAGGCTTAATCTTTAGAATCATATTTTCACTCATTTTTTCTTCCAATTTCTTATAATATTGAAAGACCATAAGAGATAACTTTGTAAGAAGATTAATGATGTAATACATATGTAGAAGATAAATACGAGCAGAAATTTCATGATCAACATAATTTAGTTAAATATTAGGTCCAGTTTTAATGTTATTATTTAATTAAAATTAGAGCTTTATTTTGTGTCAATTTTTTTTGTACATATTATTAAAATGAAACTTTATTTTTTTAATTGGAAAATAATATATACTAAAATTATGTAAAATATTTTAATTATGTTTTCTCTAACATTTATTTAAAAACTTAATTAATTACAACAAAATTAGGAAGAATGCAGAGTCAATTGTTTCATGTTTTAGTTAGACACATTACTTGAACCAAAATCCTTTGATACCACGTCTTTATCACATAATTTTTCAAGCGTGGCATCTTTAGATAACGTAATCTGTCAATGGGGCTAATTCTACAGTATTCGAGAAGCGAAACAATGTACATAGATATACTTTTCACAATGGTTCCAAACGCATGGTTTGGTCCTTATATAATTAATTATTTCTGGTAGCAAAATCACCTCCTATTTAATTTGGATACATAAAATGCTCACCTTTTCTTAAAATATAAGTAAACTAGGAGATTTTGAGAGCAGTTGCTAGAAGCTCTCTCAATTCGATCAATGGCTTAGGAAGAAATTTAGAGTAAAATAAATTAATAAGGTGTTAAGACATTGAATTGTCCCTTAATTTGAAAAGAAAAGATATGACTTTATAAATGCGGGGTTTCCTTTTTCCACTTTTAACGTTTGATGTACAGTGGCATACATTGAATGAACACTAGAAATGATGGAAGAGAAGGTACATACCCTGGATAAAATGGGGTGGGAATCATAAAAGCATCTCCAGGATCAGCCAAGCAGAACATGATTAGTTCGTTTGCCCCTGTCGCCCCTCCACTCATCAATATACGCTCTGGATCAAATCTCACCCTACCTCCTCTCACTTTTGACATAAAATTTGCCATAGCCTGAAAATATATTTAGTAAAAGTAAAATCTTGTTATTTTGATATAATACTATTTTATTAAAAATAATATGTGATTATCATAAATACAAGTCACATCATTTCATAATTTATTAGGGAGTTTGTCCGCGGTTATTAACATTTCTCTTCTTTTAATTACTATTTTTTTCCGATGCTTACATTTCTGAACTCTTGCAACCCATGATAGTCCTGAAAGTTAGCAATATTTCTGAACTGATGCAGTCCTTCAGGAGTGCAAATGGAAGCCTTGGGATTATTCCTAATCCACTCTTCAATCAGATCAAAGCATAGCTGTAAAAGAAAAACAAATATATAATGAACACCGATATGAGTAAACTCACAATCAAACAATATTGCATTTCGTATATATTAATTATGGGTAAAAATATTTAGAGAGTAGACACACATACCTGATTTTCGGCAAGACCCATCTGGATGACACCCTGAGGATTATTCGTAGGGTGAAAAGGGTTTCTATCATATGCTTTCCAACCATCAAAATATGGAGAGTTCTCTCCATGTTTGTCATTGGTTGCAATCTTAGACAGAAGCTGTTGGCTCTTACCACCCAAAACCATGTTTAATATAATTTCAATCTCCGAAGGAAATAATAGGTATATGGTCACTCTAGTTCGATCGAGTGGCAAAGGCTAGTTAATATGTATGGTGATGAGGAAATGGGAGAGAATTTGTATTTATAGACCGATGATAGATGTGGGGTTAATGTGGGAGATGGATGAAGAAGCCAAGTGTATTTCGAACTTCAAAACTAACAAGTCTAAAGAAAATATAAGTTAATAATATGGAGAATTTTTGTTGGTCGTAGGCTAATTGTTTGCGTGCTCTCGTAATAAACGCATCACGTGTGGAAAGACCACAAGCCAAATACAATAATTATACTCATATTTACTTATTTTTTTTCATCTCAACTTTTTTCTTTTCTTTTCTTTTCTTTTCTTTTTCATCACACCATTTATCCAATTTGTCACTTCCTCTATTTTTTCTTCTTCTTTTGTCTCTCTTTCTATCACCTACATGCACTCAAAAGGGTGAAGTTTTTGGGTGTAGGTAAATCACCACTCAACCAAAAAAAAATGTTTTTTTTTTCTCGAGTTTTATTATTTGTATAATATGCTCAAGACAGATCCTGAAACCTATTATTTATTAGAGCGAGGCATAATCTTTTTCAACAATAACTGTAAAATTATAATTGTTAAATATGCCATATATACCGTTTATATATAATATATAAATATTATTTTTAAATCATGAAATTCATTAAAAATATAGAAAAAAATATATAAACTTTTAATCAATTTATCAATATAAAATTAAACAAATAATTTAAAATATATCTTTGATCTAATTTTTAAATTTATTTTTTATCATCTACATGGCTAAAAGTAATTTTTTTTAATTATAACTAACTGAAAGAGGAAGAGCGCTAGCTAATCTAGAACAAATTAAATGATCAGTTAAAAATTAAGTTAAATATTTTTTAATAATTACATATTTATTTTTATAAATATATTTTATTATAGTATATCATCATGGCATATCATCATACCATCTTAACAAAAGGTTCTTTTAAACAATGGTCGTGTCATATTTTCAATGATTTATAAGGCCTATAAAAAAAAATTACAAGCATTGAATGCAAAACTTGACATATTCACCCACGACTGAAAAAATATTTATTTCTTAAATTAAATATTAAAATAAAATAATTTATTAAATTTTAAAATATTCTCTTAATTATGTTCTTGTATTTCTTTAATTTCAAACTCCTTTTCTTCTTCCTTTTCTTTCTTTCAAGCTCCCCTTCTTCCCCTCAACAATTTTGGTTAAGAAATGTTTTACTCTTCACTTCCTTCGACCTTCCTTCCTCTACCTTTCACCGTCTCTCTTACACCCTTTTTTTTCCTTCCATTTTGGTTTAATGAGGTGTTTAAATGAGATTCTATGAGTTAAATCTATAACAATGTGAGTTTTAGAAAGTCGTTGTTGATTTTATTTTAATATTTGTGTTGTTATGTTAGTTGATAATTGTTTTTGTGTTGAGAAACTTTAAAATTTAGGAATTTCTTATAAATTTTAGGTAATTGAGAATTTTTTTAGATAGAGTTTCAGTTTGATCCCTTGGAAAGAAAAGAGTATATAAGGATTATTTTGAGACTTAAGCCTCATAATCTCACTTCTCATAATTAATAACTTAGAGAGAAGAGTTATAGTTTCTAACAACTTTTCTTCTTCTTTTTCTTCTTTCTAGCCCCTAGAGTTGTGGAAGTTTGTAGTCGAGTAATTGGTTGGTGATTCAAAGCTACGAAGCTGAGGATTTGACACAAGTGCAAAGTTGTCTTAGTGTGTTTACTCAGTTTTTCTTCTTCCTTCTTATTTCTGTTCTTGGAGTTGAGGTAAGGGAAGTTAAAATCTTGTTTTGTTGGTTTGATTGAGCTACATGTTGCTTGATTTTCATAAAATGGTGATTGTGTTGGTTAAGATTTGATATAATGGTTAAGGTTGGGGTTTTTGTTTCTTATGAAGCGTATTGAGAAAATTTGATGATTTGATTAATTGTTGGTTTCATGTAAATATATGATATCTTGGTTTGCATGTTTAGTTTTGGCTAAGTTTCAAGTAGGGTCAACAAATTTGAGAGTCTATCAAGTGCAAAACTTATTACCACACGGAGCGCACCTTATTAGCATCAGGCGTGGTTCAATCAATGACACTCTATCTTGCTCATGCCAGATGTAGCGGATTGGTGGCACTAGACATGAGGAGAGAGAATTACCTCAAGTTGAACTAGCCTCGGGTATGGGTTGAATGACGTCGGACATGAGATGAGAGAATTGGCTTTGCCTAAAATGGTATCAAGTATGAGGTGAGAGAATTAACTTTGTCTAAAATGGCGCAGGTGCGACTTGAGAAAATTGACTTTGCTTAGAATGACGGCGAGCGTCAAAGGAGTGGCGTCAAACATATGAGGAGAGGGAATCATCTCTAGTTAGATGGGGTTGAGTGTGGGACTTTGTCACGCTAGGCATGAGGACTCAAGGGTCTATTGTATGACGTCGAGTGTGGGCGAGGTAGAGGGCTCCTTGCCTTAATCACGTCAAGCGTTGAGTGGATAGCGTCGAGCATTGGTTTTTGAATTTAACTTGTTGGTTTATGATGAAATTGGTGAACTGGTATAGGATAGATGGATCTATTACACATTGTATGATGATTAAGTTGTGTTATGTTTTTTATATTGATGTATGATGTTGAATCTCTATACATTCAGTTAGGATAATTTATAGTTATTTAATTAGTTGAAAGTTGAGTTGAGTTGTATGTTGTTTATTGTGGAGCTGTGTTGAGAATGCTTAAAACATGGTGTTGAAAGTTGTGTTGATTGACTTAGGATTAGAGAAGAGGTTGTTTATAAAGTTGCATATCTCATTGTAAGGACATTGTGTTGTGGTGCTCCGAAAGCTCAATTTGTTGGAAAATTCTTCTTAGGAATATGATCCTTGAAATGGATAATTAAGTCTCATTTGTAAGTTTAGTTGATATAATATATAGGTCAGGTGGAGTTGAATGATCGGCTATAAGTCATCATAGTATAGGAGTCACATCGAACTATATTGATTACAAATGATCAATTGAGTACAAAATTGGGGACCTAGTCTCTAACTAAGCATTAGAAGAGCGTAGTATTTAGAGGGTAGTCGACAGATTAATCTCATAGGTGACTTAATTATACTACCTAATGTCATGATAAACTCACATCCAAATCGTGTTACCCTGATAAGAATAATAGACTTCCTAGTTTAAGTGGCGAAATCCAAGAAACCATGTTATCTTGTGGATTATTATCCAAATTTGTTGTTGTTCTATATGGATTGAAAATATTGGATTGTTTATTTTGTAGGATCAAGCCACTTAGATTGGCCACTTAATAGTTACAAATGTTATACGTACTTTAGTACTAGATTACTCTTTCTCTTTCTCTCTCTGTATATACATGTATATATATATATATATATATGTATGTATGTATATGCATATCCCTGTTTTAATGATTTCCAATCGTTTGGTGAATGTTTTAAAGGATTGTATGTATATATTATAGTATACTTATCCAAGTACTTAATGAATGATAAAACGATAGATAGTAGTAGTTGTTTCAACTATTAGTATTAAGCTGTTAAGCATAGGGATTAAGGTGGATTGTTACAAAATTCATATTGAAAATTTGAAGCTTGATAATGATTCAAATGAAATAAAGTGGGCATATCTAAGTTTAACATTCCCACCAAAATTGTTGAGTTAGATAGTATTTCTAGTTGTAAATGATTTAAATAGTGTAAAAATATATTATATTAACTTTAATTCATTATACATAGGAATCATAATACTTCTAACCTTTGACCGCACAATTACATAAAATGGGAAAAACTCAAACTCAAACCTAACTATAATCAAAGTATGTTTTTCATATTAAAATTGGTTTAGAATTGAACTAGTACCCTAGATCATATGATAATTATGTGAGTTATTTTTGAGGCAAGGGTTCACATTCCTAACCTTGATCATATTTCTACAAAATGGGAAAAACTCAAACCCAAACCCAATTATGATCAAAGTATTTTTTTCAATCAAAATTAGTTTGGATTTGAACTAGTACCCATGCATAGTTCATATGATAATTGTGAAGGTTATTTTTTAGACAATGGTTCAAATTTCTAACCTTGATTATTTCTACAAAAATGAGAAAAACTCAAACTCAAACCCAATTATGATCAAAGTATGTTTTTCCTGTCAAAATTGGTTTGAAATTGAACTAGTATCCATTAATCATATATATGATAATTGTGTGAGTTGTTTTTCATTTTAAGAATTTGAATAAAGTTTGAGTGCTAAGTGTAAAGTATTGAGTGTAGGAACGAAGAAATATATTAATATTTAAATCTTTTATTATATTTTAATATTTAATTTAATGCATAAACATTTTTCATTTTTTTTCTTTTAATTCTTATATGTTATTTATTTTATTTATAATCCTTATAACATGAATGTTGATATAACACTCTTTACTTATTAATTATGTTGTGGTACCTTTTATTGATGCGATGTAATTAAGTTATCATGATGTCATTAATATGATGTCTTTACTTATTAATTATATTATGTTATCTTTTATTGACGCGACTAAATTAAGTTATCATGATGTCATTAATATGATGACATGATATAATAATATTATTAATGACAACTTTTTTTTAATCTAAAAATGATATAAAAAAATAATCAATATGAATGTTATATAATCAAATCATTTATATACATTAATTATAATATTTTAAATAGAATTTTTTTTAAAAATTATTCTTTAACAAGAATGTTTTTAATTATTTTTTCTTAATAACTTTTTTTAAGTATTTCTTTTAAACTTTTATCGATTTTAACCTATCATTTTTGTTATTTTTAAATTAAGTTTTAATATTTTAAAAATAATTATCAATAGTAAATAATAATTGATATTACGATTTAAATTATTATTTTATAAAAAGTACATTTTATGTTATACATTTAATAAAAATATTTTTAAAATTTAAATATATTATTATTTTTAATTATGTAGGTATGGTTATATTATAAACACAATTTTAATTAAAAAGTACTCTTTAAGGATAGAAATCACAATGAAGGATAGTTGTGATTTAAAAAATAAAAAATAGTCAAATGAGTTAATACAACATATCGAATATCCACTACTACTAAGGTGTGAAATTCGGTTAGGTTGCTTAAAATAGGATCGATTT